GTTAAGAAATATTAACTATGTAGTAGCATTAAATTAATTCAACATTCATTTGAGAAGTGCAAAACTGTATGCAAATGTCAGGTTTTCCTGTGTTCTAGCTTGTCGCCCCACCTGTGTGCCTGCACCAGTTCTAGGCTCCATGCTGGCCACAGAAGGAGAGAAATTATTTGTAGAAAAAGTCATATTCCTTATACAAATGAAATCTTAGAATACTGCTTCATCATTTTCTTCTTCAATTCATGATACTTGTTTTTGGTGCAGAAAGGAGAAATAATGAATGTAAATGTGGGCTCCAAAAAAGTAGTAGAAGTCCATCAGTTTGGAGAGGCGGGGTGTTAGAGTTTCAACATATGAATTGGGGTGGGGAGCACAAGCATTCATACATAACAGGTGATGTAACAAATGAATAATGAAAGTCCACTAGAAAGAAGTCAGTAATTTCATTTTACTTATGTTTTCAATTAATCTCAGAGCCCAGATTAATATCTTCTAGCTTTCTGGAAGGGAAAGAAATTTTTGTTTAAATCTTTAGTCCAGATTAAACAAAAAGATAGAGAATATTGAATTATGTCTGTGGTTTTAAATTCCAGCTTTTATTTGATGGTGTTATATCATCTGCTTCCGGGGTAGATAAGTGGATATTATACTTCCAAATGCCTTCATGTCACATTAGTGAAGCAATGGTATCCACAGCAGTGAAAACAGTTAATACATTTATTTTCCTTCTGTTTGTATTTCAATTCCCAAAGTTGTATTAAATTGCCTTTACTTGTATTTATGCCTGGACCATAGCCCAGCTTCCTGGTGAGAAATTGGAGCATGTGAAATTTCATGCCCAGCCTGCAGTTTCACCTGTATAGATTATATCTTTTAATCTCTTTACAGTTTGTTAACTAAGTAAACAATTTGAAGTATAATTAGATGATAATTTAAAAATTTGCTCAAAATTTTTTTCAGATTAAAAATTTTGGTCAGTGAGGTCTTTAGCTAAAATGAAGTATCACGTTGCTGTCAATAAAATATGGATTGATGAATTTTATTTATAGTCCTTGTCATCTTCCCCAGCCATCATCAGGCATACCCCTTAGCTCTGGACATGGCTGGGCATTAAAGAGGAAAATGCCATCTTTTCCGTGGGACACAGTCCAGCCTGTCTTCTCTGAATAGCCTAAAGACAGCATGCTTATGGTATTAGTATGTCTGTCTGTCTGTGCCCTGGACCTGTTTCACCTGAAGTGGGCTCTGCTGAATATCAGAGGAAGTCACCTTCACACTGGCTTTGCCTATGAAATTTTTCTCCTTTAGCTTTCAAAGACCTAGCTTCTCTACCCATACTGTTTCTCTCACTTGAAACATATTTCCCTCTAGTAATCTGAGAGAAAAAGGATAGTTTGGTAAGGACA